CTATTCTTCTTCTGCAAATTGAAACTTGAATGGATTGCATTGCTTCAACCAAAAGACAAAAACAAAACCAAAAACAAATACTAACAAAAACAGTTTAGCAGTATTGGCAGCAACCAAATGAATTACGAGTATGAAAAATCTTAAACTTACCTCGTTGCGTAGAGTATGAACCTCATTCTGCAACGATGCTACCATCTCACGTAGAGCGGCTACCTCACCGCGTAATGTAGACACCTCAACATGCCATGCACCATCGTCTTTGCGTAAAGTACCGACCTCCTCACGCAAGGCATTGACCTCATCACGTAACTCCCTTAACTCATCCCGTTGAGGTGGAGGTGGAGAACAGGGAGATAAACGTCGTGGCATCTTTGTCGGTCGCCTATCTTGCTGTGATGGTGGAGAAGAGGCTCGATGATGTGACAGAATAGGTGATGGTTGTCGTTGTGGAGGTGTATAGCCGGGTCGATCAGATGATGGCTCTGGGTGAGGTGATAGCTCTGGGCGAGGTGATGGCTCCCGAAGTGGAAGCTGCTCATCAACCGTTCCATAAAAAAAATGCTTACTAGCTTGCCACCAATCAGTGGCAAGCTCAGCTTCCGTGGGTGTCAGCCTCTGTAGAGGAGTGTTGGCTCCTAACAATATAAAAGCTCAAACAAAGTTAACGTGTACTAGTAATAACTTGTTTATAAACATATGGTAGTATTTATGTTAACTTACATTATTTATTGTCGTATACCGTAGTAAATCTTCCATTGCAAGGTCCGTTTCCTCTTCCAGGAAATAGCCCTGGGAATATCATTTGAAGTTTTTATTGCATATGTCTTCATGGCGGGAAAGGCCTCAAATATCCAAATCTACAAACAATATAATAACAAACATTAGTAATTGTTAAATAATTACTTATAATTTTGGAAACATCATATAAAAATTCTTACCTTAAAGGCCCAAATAAAGCCTGTCAAAGTGTATTTGGAACCATCGCCATGCAAACTTTTTCGATCATCAAAGGTAGACGATAACTTATTCCATGTAGCTTTCATAAATACGAGCCCCACGGAAACAGGTTCCACGCATTTAGGTCTTCTACCAATTTGATTAGATCATTTGGAATAGGTTGTCTGGCCTCTGCCTAAAAAGCTGGCATGCAAAAGAATTAGAAGGCATACTCGGACAACGTCGACGTCATCCATCCGAGTAAAACCGTCTTTATTATTCAACAATCTTGTCAGGTCTTCTACGTGTAGACTCGGCCTCTCCAGCTCAGGAAAAACCGGGATAGCCATGATGGGCGGGTAATGTGTCTAGTGTACCGACCTACATCATCGTGTCCGAAGCGTAGACCGGTGATTAAGCAAAACTCCTCCCGCCCAAAACACGTATACGCCGGTGGAAAATCAAACCATATCTCTTTATCACGACGTTGTATAGTCTCTGGTAGATCGCTAGTCATGGTTTGAAGAAACAGGTGTGTCAACATCGCATCTCCACCGGGATGTTGTACTTTCAGCCATGGCCCGAAGCATGTATCCTCAAACATTTTTCTTTGTGCAGGTGAAAGCTTCGACGCAATTGTTTTTGCCAGGCTGACTTTATTTCTCAAGGTCAATTGAGCCGAATAAAAGTTCTACAAAAACAATAAACATACTAAATTAGATATACCAAAAACTACACTGTGAAGATATACCAAAAACAATAATAAACATAAAGAGTAGTAGTTTATTCTTTAAACTTAAATTTGCAACACTGTGAATTTCGTATTTGTCTTTGTTTTTTTGTTGAAGTAATGCAATTCATTCAAGTTTCAATTTGCAGAAGAGGAATAGTTTCTGAAAATGAAAATCGCAACACGAAAATGACTATCGCAACGCGAATTTGACTATCGCAACGAGAGAATCGCAACGCGAAACTAAAATCGCGTTGCGATTTGCATTTCGCGTTGCGATTCTCGGTTGATTTAATAAGCAATCTAAGTGAAATGGTTAATCTATTATTGAAATTACCAGTAAACTTATCATCAATTTCAATATGAAAAACCTAATAATAATGCAAAAATTTCAAAAAGAAAATAATTAAAAAAACTAACCCTCGTTGGTTGATTTGGTTGATTTTCCATTTCTGATTGTGGGTGGCTCTGAGAGATGGAGATAGACGGATTTCGCCGGAGATGGGGACGGATTTCGTCGGAGATGGGTGAGAGAGTGAGAGATGGAGATGGGACTGAGTTGTGATTTTAGGTTTTAGGTTATGAGTTGCGATTACGGGATATACTGTGGACGGTTCAGTGTTCCAATATATTAATATTCGTGTTTGGAATTTTAAAATAAAATACTTGGCCATGATACTAATGGCGCTTTGAAAATCGCATTGCGATTATGTATTATCGCGTTGCGAAAGTCAGAATCACGTTGCGAAAGTCAGTATCGCGTTGCGAAAGTAAGTATCTCGTTGCGATTTTGTATTATCGCATTGCGATAGTCAGTACCCAATTCGCGTTGCGATTTACTTATTCGCATTGCGATTTTCCCAATTCGCGTTGCGATTTACTTATTCGCATTGCGAATTGGGAAAATTGCAACGACACTGTAGACCATCGCAACGCGATTTTCAACTATCGCATTGCGAAAATGCAACGCGAATTTGCGATAATGGAGATCGCGTTGCGAATTAGCGATCGCATTGCGATTTTGTTGGTCATTTTGGCAAATCCGAAAAAAGTTGGTTAAAATCGTATATTATATGGGATTTTTGGTCACTGAGGTTATTTTCTCTTAAAAATATTACAACTTTTAAAAATATATTGTTTTTAGGGGATTATAGGTTCAATTTGTAGCTTCTTTAAAAAAATCTGTAGAATTGATGATACATGGACAAAATAATTATTATGGGATAATATTAATAGTAAAAATCGATATAAAATATTTGAAATTTTAGAGATTAATTAAGAATAAGGATAATAATTTGAGGACTGATATGAAGTATTTTGAAGTTCAAGAAATAATTTAGAATAAAATCATAATTGAACTTGATTAAGTTTAAGTCGAACTCAATACCATGCAAGTATTATTTGTGATTGGCACTGCAGACTACTAAAACAGAGTCCAGGATTAGAAATTAGCCAGGAGCAAGAAGATTTTACTGTATTCTAACTTGGCTTTTACAAACATTTTGAGTTCTGGAAAGAAATGAAGGAATTAGTTTGCCTTCTAACATAAAAAACAAGTACGAACTGAACATAAAATATGTCTATTAGACTCATACTATCGAGAGAGAAAATTTCATATTGCAAGACCAACATATGCCCACCTTAGAGTCCATTTGCGTTCGCCAACCTAAGAAAACCACTATGTCTAAGCAAGGTTTCCAACGATGATGCCTCCCTCGACATATCCATTTGGTGCTGGATCTTATGATTGGCAACCTCAAAATTTACACTCACTTCACCTCCATTTCTACTCGGATTGCAGAAGGAATCAGTAAGCAGAAGAGAGATTATGGAACAAGATCTAGACAAGGTAGAATCAGTAAGCAGAAGAGAGATTATGGAACAAGATCTAGACAAGGTAGAAACAGAAACGAGAAGAGCGCAAGTACACAATATAAAGATGGTCCTATTAACAGCTTCCCATGTTCCTTAGCCATCTTGAGGTCAGCGATTCATTCTAACAAATAAAAACCTAACTATTGAATTAACTCGGGAGAAAAAAAATCACAATACTATAAGCCTATATACATGATGACAACATTTCTACAAAGCAATAGATTATTCTCTGTTGTATACTGTACTTTAATTTGGGGAAATGAACCAAAGCAATATAGAAGTTAAATCTGTATCTCGGTGAAATAAACAACAGAAAACAGCTAAAACAAATTGATCAAATTATGCGTATACAGATGCTCTCTTTGATTGAAACAACCCGACGGGCCAAAAGAGAGAAAAGAAAGAAATCAAGCACCAAAACTATATAAGATATTCAATGTCTAACTAAAAAAAAATTGGTCTTCCCCCACAAGTCACCTTCGAGTCCTTTGATCGGCAGAGTACTGGGACAAAGGAACGACTTCCCACAAAGGTGTAGAAAGCGGAGTCGGAAGCGGGGAGTTCCGACAAACGGGGCAAGAGCCATTAAGTCTCAACCAAGCATCAAGACAAGGAACATGGAAATAATGCCTACACTCGGGCATCATCCTCAACATCTCCGAATCTGTATACTCACTCAAACAAATCTAACACGTTGTGTTACCGTCACTGGGATCCGCAGCGGACGATTCATCTTTACTGAACTGGAACTTGGGGTAAGAATTTATAACGGCCTGGGCCAGCCCCACGACGGCGTTCTCGTTGTCTTCGTCTTCGGCGACGAAAATGATCCTGGGGAGAATGATTCCGTCGGAGTTGGGAGAGAAGGCGCGTGAGGAAGAGGAGGAGCGGCAACAGATGTAGGAGGCGAGGAGGACGAGGAAACCAAGGGCAATGACGATGGTATAGCCGAGGCCTAAGTTGGTGAGATAGTCGGTGGACATTGGAGGGAGAATTGAGGATCCATTTGGTGAAAGAAAAAGGTGAGGGAAAGAGAACAAGAAGAAGAAAGGTGGGTACATGCTGATACTGCTGCAGTTAATACTGAGCTTGGGAACAGCGAGTTGAAAATAAACCATTTTCTACAACCCATCTCCACCGTCCGGGTGAATCTTGGTCCACATGAATCTAAGAGATGTTCGAAGTTGAAAATAAAGATTTTCTAAAAGGTTCATAGGTAAATCCTTTTAGTCCAACAATGTGGCTTTTGACCATACGTACCAAATCCTGAAAAATGATATATTGGTATTCATCCAGATTCTTGAAAAAAATGTAACTTTACAGATTAATTCTGTCCGATAAAAAGAAGATGTTAAAAAAAACAGAATCTTTGAGTTCCATCATAAACACCGGAAAGCGGAAAAAAATTAGAGGAAGCAAAACATCATAAAACATAGAAAAAGACAAAAGTGAAAGAAAGTCAAAATAAGTCTCTGAGAGAAGGAAGCTTGATTTCTCCTTTCTTACTGACGGGGATGGTGAAGTCTCCAAAGACGGGAAGATCAATGATAAGTTTAACGTTGAGCTCATAGTCAATATCCCAGTCTCTGCAAATATCCTTGGCCAAGCTTATCAATACATTATGCGGCACCTTCATCGGCACGTCCAATATCGTCGTATCGTTCCCCTTCAACGACCCTGGATCCTCTATTTTTCCTCTTACAATCTCGCTGAATCATAATTGTACACAGCTTCAATTTTTTTTTTTTAACAATATGTTTTACAATGAAGTAGTATAAAACAAACCTGCCGTCGCTTTTTAAATCGAACTGAATATCACAAATGGGGATGGAATGGCTATAGGGGTTGGAGACGGCAACCTTGGCGCCGTATTCCACACCGTCTCTATTAACACTATTTATATCGACGCCCTTAATGCTGGCTTCCGGCTTCCTCATCTCCGCCACCTTCCCCGACACAAAGTTCTTCACCATCTATACCATATTTTAGATACAAATATGTTATCATTCGGAGATACGTCTCTCCCTATCGGATGACACTTTTTTACAAATTAATTATATTAAATATTAATATAATGAATCCTTAAAATGATTGTCAAGGAAAAGCAAACCCAATAGGGAAAAGAATAGATGCTAACCTCCATTGATTGTCTCTGGAATCAGTTATAAATTGAAAGGAAGATGATCAAATGCAGCTGAAAATGGGTAAATTAAAGAGAATAATGCAATTTTATTTTATTTTAGGTAAATTTTAACATTTCTATTGTTGCCATTGTTTTGAGTTGGCCGAGTCATAAACTCAAGTTTGAACCAAACAAATTTTTTTGTGCGATTCCTACGAGAATTGAGATCAAGTTTCAACCAAACAAATTCCAAGATGTTTTTTTTTAACTTATTCCTACGGACGGACCAATTTATATATATTTTTTGTTGGAATCAAATTAGAAATAGGGTTCTTATCTTCATGTGTGTTATGCTTCAAATTTTACTCCATACAGACATAATTGAGTGTCATTCATTGGGCCTAGGGGTAGATGACCGATGTGAAAGAATGAAAAACACGAAGTGGAAAATAACAATATATAAAAAGCAACAACATTAATCGTTTATGCAACTCAACATATTACACGGTAAATAAAATTATTTGTTGTGGAATGTATTAAAGATTAACTCAAAGTGGCTAGCCGAATAATGGAAGTTGATATTAAAACCTAGAAAGGAATTGCATTTGCTTGAGAAGAGGGATTAGGGTTTCCACTAGTTTTTCACATGGATGGTTATGAATTCCTTCGTAAGTAGTCATCACGATGCTGCTGTCTATTGCCAGCCTCTGGACCTTTTTCTTCACGTTGCATGTGTGATGCGTGCACCGGTAATAACTCCTATTTTATTTCAACAAATATGTATATAAGAAATTAAAACTTATGATCCATTTTCGTGTATTGAGACAATGTATATAAAACACGTACATTAAAGGTTTGGGACTCGATTTTCCTTTCATCTGAGTCTGACTCGAAAAGCAGTTATTAAATATGTGGGAGACGCAGCACAATTTAAATAAGTGCATAAATATATTTTTGTTATTAAATTAATAAACAATAAATTTAATTTGATAAAATAATTAATCGTACATTGTCATACTCTTCTTACAGTTATCAATGTATCCAGGGGTCCGTATATTGTAACACAATATACATATTATATGGGTTTAATTAAGGGTGTAAATGAACCAAACGTTCAACGAACTGTTCGTGAATCATTCGTATAATATTGATTTATTAAGATAAACAAATGAGCAGTAACAAACTTATTATGTTTATTTAATAAACAAACAAACACGAACATATGTGTTCATTTCGTTTTTTGTACACGAACAACTCGTTTATTGTTCGTTTATAATCTCGTTTATATGGTTCTTTTTTCTTTTGTTTGTTTTTATATATATATTTTTGAATCATCTGGGGTGATTATGATGTAATATCTATTATTTTTTAATCAGTGAAAACACACACACCCTGTAAATACAACTACTCAAATTTAGGATCTCAAGGGAAAACAACATTATCTTTAATCACTAAGATCACTCAATTGAACGCAGAGTAAATTTTGTAGTTCAAACTTTAAAGTCTAAAGATCTTAATAACTAATAGTATAATTTTATCATTTTGTTTAACATATTCACCGCGTACCATCACAAACAAGGGACAGCCATATCATGGGAAGTAGAGCTGGGTATATGGGCTAAGGCTCGCGGGCTACCTGTTTAACCAGCGACCCGTGCGGGCTTCAGGCCTCAAAAATTGAAGATCGTTTAAATTACGGGCTTTTTAGCCCAGACCGTTAAACCCGCGAGTTTAATGGGTATAACCGCGGGCTACCCGCTAAAGCCCGCTTAATTTAAAATTCATAAAATTTTAGAGAAAATAAAGTTAAAGAATTTTATAGAAAAAAATAAATTACCTATAAATATGATGTTACTTATAACTATTGTAGTTTTTAAATTTATTAGGGCGTTTGTCATAATTTTATCGTTGCTTGATATTTTTTTCATTAAATATACATCATTATCATTTGGTATTTAAAGATTTTTTTTATTTAATTTTGACCTTTATTTTTGTTCATGAAGTATGTTATCCATTTTGTTCTTTAATTATAAAAAGTCACGTGATATTCTAATAATATATTACATGACACGTAATAATTGGATTAAAAATAAGAAAGAAAAGTAAATGAAAAAATTAAAAACATATTTTTCAACTTTTAAAGACTTTTACAAAATAAATATATTTTAACAAATTAATGACTTATATTTTATCAATTTTAGTATAACTGTATCTTTCAAATTACTCTTATACTGTAAGTATTTTATTTATATTTTCATATTATGTTTTAGTCTTTCTCTAAAGTATCCATAAAAGACAATTATTATTACCACTTTACAACTTCTTGTTAGATTTGTATAATGTTTGACTTTGTTGAATTTTATGTTTGAATTTATGCTTTCAGACACTTCTGTGTCTTCATATTATAGCCTTGAATAATCGTGTTTTATAAAAGTATAATGTGGTTATTGTTTTATTTGTTTTCAATTTGGTGATATAAGTGAATATTGTTTTTTAATTTGAGTTTAAGTAATTATCATTATATATATATATATATATATATATATATATATATATATATATATATATATATATATATATATATATATATATATATATATATTAATGATTAAAAAATTAAAAAATATATTATTTATAATCATTTCCGGCTATTTAAAATAAAATTTAAATATTATTTATTATTTTGATGGTGCTATCTTCTTTTCAAGTTGCTCGATCATTTTTAAAAATGTAGTAAGTTAAAACATTATTTTTTTATTGCATTTAAAGTATTTAAAATTATTTTTATTTAACGGGTTGCAGGTAAGCCCGTTTAGCCCGCGGGTTAAATGGACGAGCCGCGGGCCTTAAAATTCAAAACCGTTTATGAATACGGGCTTTTTAGCCCGCTCCATTTAAGCCCGCACCGTCAAAATCCGCGGACTAAACGGACGGGTAGCCCGTTTACCCACCTCTAAAGGGAAGTAATGGGAAAATAATGGGAGCAGCTGCATCCCATTATTTTAGAAAGACAATTAAATTTAATTTAATGGGTTAAAAAAAAGAAAAAACAAAGAAATGTATATACTCATTTTATTTTCAAATGATAGTATTAATATTTTGGATCATTATTTTTAGGGATAACAACGGGTCGAAATGAGTCAAGTTTATTATTAACCCGATCCTACTTAAAATATATATACTCTCCATTTGAACTCGACTTGATCCGAAAATATATTTCCTTCATCCGACATGGCCTGAAAAATATATATCCTCCAATCGACCCCGATCCAACTAAATTTTTAGTGTATAAATCCTACTCAGTCCGATATAAAATAAAAACTTAATTAAAAAAAATAGAGAGAGAAGATATTATAGCTATTATCCATAAATGTATTTAAAGAAATTATATTATTACCCTCGGGTCTGAGTTTTTTCACCGCGGGTCTGAGTTTTTTCACCGTACACCCAAATTTGACCTGACTTAACACCTTTATAAAATTCGAATGACTAGAACTCTAATATTTTTAAAAAAAATACAATCCTATCAAATCTGATCAGAACGAAATCGATTGGTTTCGGGTTAAATTATCATCCTATTTATTTTTGAATTTCTACATCTACCATTAACACAAAAGCCTTAAAATAAAAAAAAATAAATATAAATATAATCTTAATTATTAAAACTCGATTCATTTACACCAAAATGTTTAATCGACTATATCTATTTTAAAAACTTAATTATCCTTGTGTAGGTTTCGTAACACATGCAACGTATATGAGAGAAAACAACAGTAGTTTCGATGATAAACAAACCTTTGATGATTGCTATTTTTGACAACCTTGGATAAAAATATCATCACCAGTCCTGGTTCGGAACGCAAACCTCGGCCGGATTTGTCTTTTTGAACCGCCAACGTTTCCTCTTGTGTGTTGTTGCCGTTCTCAATGCGATGATCACCTCCGTTTTCAGCCACCGGAAGAGAAGTTTCAATCACTGGCTTGCTCTGAACGTCGGGACCCAGAAAGGCTTGACCAGAAAGGAGGCTAATCCAATCAATGTCGGGCATCACTTGAGTATCTAAAGGAAGGTGCAGGGAGGAGGATGGCGTAAAGAGGAAAGGAGTGGTGAGTGGTGGCGCAGGCGGCGGCGGGAGTGGAGGTGGGATACTATTTTTTTGGCCATCCATATCTGAAAAAGCTAAAATTCTGAGGGCTCCACGGGGAATATAAGGGGAGAAATTAATAAAGAAGAACTGGGAATGGTTGAGAAATGAAGTCTAAAACGGGGAAAGAAAGTGGTCGGGGGAAGGCGGAAGAAGTTGGACTACCCCACTTAGTTTTTACAAGAAGATGAATAGAAAGGATAAATGGAGGTATATATGGAGAGAGAGGGGTAGGATTTTTTATTTTATATAAAATTCTAGGTTTTATATAGATTTAAGATTATCGAAAGAAATTATAAAGTAATCATTTGAGATTAATAAAAAAAAATAGTGAAGGCATATAAATAGATAATTGAGATCAAAATTTAAAAATTAATGAATCTTTATTTAAAAAAATATAATATTAATGTACAAAATTTTAATCTCTATCATCTACGGATGCATACACATGAATTATTATTTTACATAATTCACCTTTTCTAATCTCAAATCTTAAAATTTAAAACTCTAACCCTAAATCCTAAACAACAAACTTAAATACTAAACACGAAAACATAAAACCCTAAATATAACCCTTAATTTCTAAACCATGAAATCTAAAATATTAAATCGAAAATAATATAAATAATTGTGTAAAATTTGATTTAATATTATTCCTCTCTCGCAAATTTGGTAGAGACAGCAACCTCTCAACTACATTTGTTCA